CAAATGAACTAAATCATGCAAAATTCAAGTTACTCTGGAAAAACTGTAATAAACATTTATTTATTATTTTCCACCTAACACCGCTCTCTGTTTAATGCTGGATGAAATAAAGAAAGTGCTGCTACTTTATTTACTTTGAGCAAGTGAACGTCATGTTCACAAGATAATTAATCCACCAGATAATTCAGAGGTGGTCTGTTCGGTAAATTTTACTCCAGGAGCTGCGGTCGTAATGATGCATTTAGGTACCGAAATGGAATTACATGAACATTCACGTGGAGGTTATGTAATACAGCGAATCGATAATAAAAAATCTGCGTCGACAAATTTACATAATCATCGATTATTTCAACTAATCGGTGCAGCCCTACTTTATACGTACATCCCTTTTTGAGTTCACAGTTAAATTTAAAGACGTTAGAAAAACTTCCTGAAACCAAGAGAACGAGACAAACATCCTGACTGACACTCTGAAGATGGTGACACATAAAGAGCAGATATGTCAAGGTGAAATTAGTCTAACTAYAATCATAAAAAATACAGTCTATGTTAAACTAGTTAGCTGCCATTTACTTATTGAAAGCCAGGTGTCTGTTCTTATAGTGTTATTTAATGAGCAACCTTCAATGGTCTGATAATGAGATCGTTATAACTGGGCAGTATATACCAGTTTGTACTGAAAACTGCTTTTTATTTTCATTATTGTTTGAATTTTCATAGACATACCAGTTTAAATAATCTGAACATGTTTGGAACGATCAGTCACACTTGCAGTAATCTGGTTTATGAGTGTTAGTCATCAGGTCTGTCCTGTATTTATTTTTCTAAAAATCACAGAGCTCTCAGTCAGCTTCAGGAGCTCATAATTAATTATAAGAAGAAACTTGGAGAAACTTGTCAGTTTGGTTAAAAAATCAGTAAAAATAAATTAAAAATTTTCCTCTGCTATAATTTTTTTAAATAAATATATCAAAGCTCCTCAGTTGAAAACACTGAAATGATAGAAGAGATGTTTAAAACCTCTTTCCTCAGACAGTCTTCAGTCCTAAGAACACTAAACTGTAACTTTAATAAGGTCATGTACACAGTGCACTCCTATTTAAATTAAATTGTTTGACCTGTGAGCAGAAAGCTTGTTGGACATTGATTTTTACTCTGTTTCAGAAGAGAATGAGTTTTATTCAAGCAGCTCCTGAAACCTGCTGACTGAGAACATTTGTATAAACAAACTTTGTATACAGAACAACAATATACTTATTTAATGACATTGTTTTTGATGAGAGGCCACCACCACGGTTAAAAAAAATCCTAGGGCAAACCCTGAGATATGTTTCTAATTTAGTGCCAGATTTTTTTATTCATTTCATTTAAAACCAAAACAAATTCACATACAACAAAATAAATAAAATGAAAGGTAGCAGAAATAAAATATCTTATATCTGTTATATACTGATATCTGATAATAAAACAAAACAAAAATTTCAACTCCTCAAACAGCAGCTCTTAAATACAAATTTTACAATGTCATATTTCTTTAGCAAATTAACTTTTATCATTCTTTTAAACAAATTAATTGAGCCAGCATTTTTATAATCACTATCCAGATTATTCCACAGTCTTTTCCCTTTGACTGAAGTATTACATCTGTTCTTCAAATTTCTCCAAAGTGTGCCAACTCCTCAAACTGTGCCTGGAATCAACCTACTTCACGTATGGGGGGCAATATTATAGGCAGAAACATGGGTGTGCCATGGGATCCCCAGTTTCTCCTATTGTTGCAGGCCTGTACGTGGAGGAGGTGGAGGAGAGAGCCTTGGTG